ACATGTTCGAATGACATCTAGGTTTTTAGGAAAAAAGATTTCGATTTTCAACATGATTCTCCCATTCATCCAATTCTCAAAGCGGTAATTCTGGATTGATCACCCAGAATCCAATCCTAGGTTCAATCCGATCCACGAGAGTGTTGTATCTGGGTTGCCTGAACCGGATCTTATGGACGTCCCCGTCGTAGGAGACGAAAGCTACCTACGGAGGATACGTAAGCAGAGATGGATTCCGATCTACAAAGCATGATCTTGTTCTGGCATGAGAGCGAGAGTTAATTGCCATGAACAAGTGATTAGATGATTAGGGAGACGAGAATTGGCTAATCTTACATGTGTCTATCCTAGTTTCAAAGTCATAGAAAATCCTTGCCTAAATTCTTTGTGTCTTAGAACATGAACCCTAAAGATGAACCTTGAACTCAGCGCTTTTTCCTTACTGTTTTTCAACCGATTTTTACTTAAAGCTCTTTTTAATTCTCTACATAATTAGATTTAGTGACAAACTAAAAACTCTTTTTATTAGATTAGGTTTACAATTGTTTTTAGCATCAGTTAGAAGTCCTCAACACACAGATCTCTGTGGATTCGATCCCTAAGTACTACTGTGTTTGCTGTGCACTTGCAGCTTGTCTACGGTAAAACTTGTGTTGCCCACTGCACTCACATCAATATTATATCACATGGAGCTTCTTGTCCTTCTTCTGACCCAAAACCGCTCCAACAGCATAGTCAGAAGCATCAGTCATCACTTCAAAGGGTAGAGACCAATCTGGGGCTTGTACAGTAGGTGCACTGATTAAGGCTTCTTTGATCTTCTTAAAGGCCTCCTCACACTCAGCATCAAAGACAAACTCCACATCCTTGCATAGCAACCTTGTCAATGGCCTTGCTATCTTAGAAAAGTCTTTAATGAACCTTCTATAAAAACCTGCATGACCCAGAAAGCTTCTGATCCCCTTAACAGATTTTGGAGCTTGCAAGTTCACCATCACTTCCACTTTTGCCCTGTCCACTTCTATCCCTGCCTCAGAAACCTTGTGCCCAAGAACAGTACCCTCTTGCACCATAAAATGACACTTCTCCCAGTTGAGAACCAAGCTGTGCTCCTCACATCTCCTTAGGACCTGAGAAACATTAGACAAGCAAACAGAGAAGGAGAATACATAGACTGAAAAGTCATCCATGAATATCTCTACTTTCTCTTCAATCAGATCCGAAAATATGGACATCATACAGCATTGGAATGTAGCAGGAGCATTGCACAGTCCAAATGGCTTGCGCCTATAAGCAAAGGCCCCATATGGACTGGTAAATGTGGTTTTCTCCTGGTCTCTTGGGTCTATTGGTATCTGAAAGAATCCAGAGTAACCATCCAGAAAAAAGAAGAAGGGATTATTAGCTAGCCTTTCTAACATTTGGTCAATAAAAGGAAGACGGAAGTGGTCTTTCCTAGAGGCTGCATTCAACTTTCAGTAATCTATACATCCTATGACCTGTGATGGTTCTGGTTGCTATCAGCACATCCCTTTCATTTTTGATCACTGTTATTCCACCCTTGGTGGGCACCACATGAACTGGTGAAACCCATCTGGAGTTTGAGATAGGATAGATGATCCCAGCCTCTAGGAGTTTTAGAATTTCCTTTTTCACTACTTATTTCAAGTTAGGATTCAGCCTCCTTTAGTGTTCAATGGATGACATAGATTCTTCTTCAAGATGAATCCTATGAGTTCATAGGTTGGGTAAGATACCTTTTATGTCATCCAATGAATAACCAATGGTTCTTCTATGCTTTCTCAGTTCATTCAATAATGCATGCTCTTGATCATCTAACAACTTATCATTTATGATGACAGGGTAAGACTCATTGAGACCTAAGAATGCATACCTGAACCCCTTAGGAAGAGGTTTGAGTTCCAATTGAGGTGCCTTAGACTCATCCCAATCCGCATTGTATGAATCCTTCTTGGCTGGACTTGGTTTGGTGTTCATCTCCTCAATAGGCTTGTTGCCTTGCTCATCCTCTATCCCCCACGGCTTTGCACTCTTGAAATGACCATTGGTTTGGCTTAAGCCACTGATTTCCTGAACATGTGAACCACTTGATCCCAGCTCTAAGAACCTTGACTCTCAATCCACTTATTTGTGTTGATCCAAAGCCATCCTGTAGGCTTCACTCTCTTCAGCCAAGTAACCATGATCACCATGTTCTTTAGTCAAGGTTATTTGAAGGTGATCTTCAGTGTTCAGCTCCTCTAAGAGCTCATCAGCTAGCTCATCCATAGTTTCCACATAGAAGACTTGTCCTTCTATGGTGGGTTTCTTCATCATCTCTTTCACATCAAACTTGAGTCTCTCTGATCCAAGCTGAAGTTCAATCATGCCAGCCCTTATATCAATGATGGCACCAGCAGTGGCAAGGAATGGTCTGCCTAAGATGAGAGGATCATTGGGTTCCTCATCCATTTCCAAGACCACAAAGTTTGTTGGAACCTCAAAGCCACCTATTTTGATTGGTAGATCTTCAAGCATTCCAAGTGGTAGTCTAACAGGCCTATCAGCTAAGACTAGAGAGATTCTTGCTGGCTTGAACACTCTGTACCCCAACTTCTTTGCTATTGAAAATGTCAAGCTCACTGATGATCCCAAGTCACATAAACAACCATCAAACATCAAAGGACTAATGACACAAGGAAGTGTGAAGCTCTCTGGATCTGATAGCTTTAGGGATTGCCCTCATTTGTATGACTGCACTGCACTCATGACTCAACACAACCATCCCTGTTAGCTCCTTTGTCTTGTTGAGGATGGCATCTTTTAAAAATTTTCCAAGCTTTGGAATCATGAGGAAAGCTACTATGAGAGGCATGGTGAATGGGTTCTCATTAAGATGCTTTCAAAAACTGTTGTAGCCTTGTCTAAGAGCTGCTTCTTAAACCTTTCAGGGAATGGAAGTTTAGGCCGGTAAGGAGGTGGTGGAACATAGGGCTTCTCAGGTTCTGCTTCCTTAATGCTGTCTTGTTGTTTGATCTCCAATGATGATTGGGTATGTGAAATGGCTTGATTTGTGTCTTGATGCTTGGGAAAGATTAAGGCTTGATTAGAATCCTAAATCACTTGAATCATGTTTCATTATTGTCATTAGCTACTTGGTTAAATCCTGAAAAGCACCCTAGCCATCTATCATATTTGGAGCTCTAATCCTCATCCTATCATATTCATCATCTTGTTTAGTGTTCTTTATTTGCTTAGCTTGCATCTTAATCTTGTTTAAAGCTTGGTTTAGTTTTATTGTAAAACAAAAACAAAGACTTGATCTCAAGAGAAGAATCAAAGACAAATGCTAAGACCACAATTTGGCAACGGCGCCAATTGATAACTAAGATTTTTTAGCTCTTAAGGAGGTTATCAATCCCCTTTATCAGTTGTAGGATAAGGGGTATAAATCCAATACTTGTGGTTTAGACACTTATCTATGAGATAATCTCTTAATTCAAGCCAAATAGATCGATTATGGTTTCAAACAA